CAGCGATTCGCCCGGCTCGGGTGTCGCTCTCGCGGCCTGCCATTCGCGTCTCGGACTACCGGCCCCGGCATGCTGCGCGGCCGAGGAGCGGCCGGCTTCCCCCGTGTTCGGGCGGCGCAAGGCTTGCCGGGAAGTGGTGTTTCTTCCCGAGCGGAGCACGTGCGCGGCTCGGAGCGGGTCACCTTCTTCCCTGCCAAGCACGAGCAATGCTAGCTGGGGAATTCTGGGAGTTGAAGTCCATGTATATCTTAAAAGTTGCTGAGATTGGGACACACTGCACAAGAGGTTGTCAGTGAGGGGCGTTTTCCTCCCACAATTGTAGAAAAATTCAAGCTTTCAAAATCCTGCTGATTTCTGGTCCATTTATCTTATGCATATTTACTCAAAAGTAATCCCACTAGATTCAGTTAGCTTTCGTCAGGTAACACTTGTAAAGATTGCTGCTGTACGTTGAAAGCTGCCCTCTCTACCATGCCTGCATTTCTGTCCCTAAGGGACTCTTACTCTCCGTTTCAAAAGACGCCACATTAATTAAACATGGCATTTCAATCTTAATTTTTCTATATATAGTTTTTAAAGGATGCTTGGAAATCAATGAAGGGCTCCTTTGAGGTTTCTTACAGCTTTTGCCGGAGAGAAACAAACGGGAAGAATTCCAGAAGTATAATTGTGTCAGATTCTTGCAACCAAGATGCTGGAGAACTAAATGATAAACTGGTTTGCTTGTGGCTTGGCAGCATGTAGAAATGCTAGTTGTTACAGTGTCTTGTTCAAGAAACTGTGGTTTATTGCAACGGATGCCTCTTTGCATGATGGCAGTGGGGGGGGGGAGGAAATGAGATAGAAGGGAACTTTGACGAGGGCAGATGTGCCAACGTATTAAATTTCTCATCGGGCATTGCTAAATTATCTTCCTTTTAAAACACAGACATAAACAAAAGCATGGCGAGATCTGCCAGGGACCAAGTACAGAAGATCTGGACAGACGAAACAAACAGGCTGAGTAAATGGAAGAATGACACATGCTTTGCTTTGCCTTGATTTAAGAAGGAGGGGGAATTCTCGGTGGCACCCAAAGATTGTGCGATCTTGCAGATGTCGGAAGAAGGGATGATGATTTAATTGGCTCAGGAAAGCCCCCAAAACAGCACAGATTTCTCAAAAAGATAAGAGGGGGCCAGATGCTTAATGGAGGCGATGGGTGCCCAGATTTCTTTTGGCAGGATGGGGCAATACAGGAGAGCACTTTTGCAGTCACGGTGCCAATCTCCTCCTCCTCCTCCTCGTTTTGCAAAGTAGCATCTGGAAGTCGATAAAATTTTTACCCAAGAAGAGATTCCACCATACTTGATCTGTTTCCATTCAGGTGCAGCCTTCCTTCTCCTCCTCCTTTGCGTGCCACTTGCAAGCCAGAGGACTTGGAAGCGAGATTGCAATCCCGCCTCGCCCTTTTCTAACCCCCACAGATATTTAATCAGATCCATCTCAGCATTCTTCTTCAGCCTTAATAGCCGCTCCTGCGGTTCTCTAATTGCAATGCCGGTCTCAAATGGTTTCTGGATTCTTTCGCTCACAATGGAACGATCGCTGCATGAAAACGCCCTCTGTTCTTCATTTCCAAAACCATTAAAAAAAAATAAGCACAATTTTCACGACAGCTTTTTCAGGCCTAAGCACAGAAGGTCTGGGAGTTGACTATACCAATCTTATTATCTTCAGCATTTCCCAACCTTAGCAACCGTTAAGACGTGTGGACTTCGATTCCCAGAATTCCCCAGCACCCTCTGAGTTGAAGTCCGCATGTCTTACAATTGCCAAGGTTAGGAAACCTTGTTTTATTAGAGGCTTGAGTCTTCTTTTCCTCTTCCTTAAACCCTGAATCAAAGGCAAAGCTCGGCCTGCTTCAAATTTCTTGTGGACCACCCTATACTATGGGCTGCAATCAAATTGTGTTTAAAAAAAAAAAAAAAGCCCAGTGCAGCTCAGATATGCAACATTCCTAGCAAAGCAAAATGTTGTTTTCCAACCGGCAATGTGGACTTTGAATAGGGAGGGTTGCCCTCCTGCAGACGTGCCCTTTGCTCCTTGGGGGGGGGCAATTGGGGAGGATCAGAGAACATTTCAGGCCAATTTGTTTGACAAAGGAGTATTACTCTTTGTATACGTGTCCTCGAATTACGACCACAGTTGAGCCCAAAATTTATTTTTGCTAAGTGAAACATTTGTGAGTTTTGCCCCATTTTACAACTTGTCTTGCCCTAGTTTTGTTCAGTGAATCACTGCCAGTTGTTGAGTGACTAACACAGTTAAGTGGATCCGGCTTCCCATTGACTTTGCTTGTCAGAAGGTCGCAAAAGGGGGATCACGTGACCCCGGGACGCTGCGACCGTCGTAACTATGAACCAATTGCTAGGCATCCGAATGTAAACTTATAAATCATCCACCCCTAAGATTCCGGGCAGTTTGCAATGACATGAACTGCATAAATCAACTCTCTCCAGATGGTGTGGGACTACAATGCCCTCATTCCCCAGTGTACATTCCTGATAAACCCACAAGTGTTACACAAGCACAGCCGCCCTCTTTTCTGCTACTTTCTAGAGCAAAGTGTCTCAACCTCAGCAGCTTTAAGATGTGTACTTCCCAGAATTCCCCAGTCTCCTTGGAGAGTAGGGCATTCTGGGAGTGGAAGTCCACACAGCCTAAAACTGCTCCAGCATTTGCTATGAGGAACCTCTGGATGTGAAGGCTTTTATATGGCTGTGCTTGCCAACAGCCCTCCGCAGTCCTTCATCCACCTTATCTTCATTTTAATTTCAGGTCACAGAGTTTGTGATTTTGTCACACAGCAACAACATCTGAAAATCTGGGAGGAGGGGGGTACTAGCAGTGAAGATATTTGGCTGAACTTCTTATAGAAATGGAAGATTCTTCATTAAGAACAGCCTGCTCCATGGGGATCTGCTGTTCCTAATAATATAAGTTCCGGTTGCTTCATACTCATTTTGCGAGATTTTGGAAAGTTTAAGGCTGATTTACATAACCACATACTGAACTTGTTAGTCATTAGACTCACGACAGGACCAACTGTGCACATGGGTGTGTGCGTGTTTGTGTCTCAAACCTGACCAAACGCAAGCAGTTAAGTGTACCTCTGTAAAATGTGCAAAAGTTGCTCGTTAAATAATGCCAAAAATCAATGCGAGATCAAAAACTGTTTTTTTTTTCAAATGAGAAGTTTGGGGTTCATTATAGATAAATTCTTGCTTGGTTAGGAATGAGTCATTAGCTCACACTGGTGCCAGATTTGGAAGCTGTGGAAAATTTGACATTTGTACATAAGCTGAAACTTTTTTTAAAAAAAAAGTTTCTTCATTTTCTTCCTATGCAGCGGGTATTTGCTAGCTTCCTTAATGCCTGTCAAAATACCTCATGGTGCCATACTCCCTCTGCTGTTCAAACGGTGAAGCTACAGGGACCTTGATCGACAAAGGGCATTTTTCATTTAATAACCAGATGAACATTTAATTTAATTTTACAATGTCGAAGCCCCTGGATGGCTTACAGTTTTAAAAGCAAGAACAATCAAGAAAGTCAGAGATATCCAGCTAAAACAATCAAACAACTCAACACCACTGTATCCCAAGACTTGGGAGAATAGCCGTGTTTTTAGCCATTTTCTGAACACCGTAAGGATGGGAGCTGTTCAGAGGACACTGCTCCAGACAGCAGGTGCCCTTCAAGTCCAGCCACTCGGGCTAATTGAGCTTTCCAAAAACCAAAACACAACTTTAAGGGGTCCTGAGGGCTCTGAGTTTGGTTGTTTCATTACCAAACTGGGTAACATCATCAGTGCATGGATTCATTTCAACTCTGAGCTACAAATATTCCCTTCTATAAGGATCACAACTTTAAGTCCCATGTTGGCTGGGGAATTCTGGGAGTTGAAGTCCACAGGTCTTAGCCTTTTGAGTGAGCAGTTACTGTTTTTTTAACAATATCTCTGCCTAGCTCCTCCATTCTTGTTGAAGCCTCTCGCAGCCCCATCATGTCCCCCAGACCGGATAACCCGAAGCCTGGTGCTGTCAGTTGAATAACATAAACCAGAATTACTGGGTTCCTTGTGGGAAGTGGACTAAAAGCTGCTGAGACTACAAGTCCCAGAATTCCTAACAAGGAAAAAAAAATGCTTCTTGGAGGGAGGGGCTACAACGTCAAGCCGTTCCCTGGCAACGCCTTCCCGACATGCTTCGAGCGCCATTCATGGCCTCCTAGAGCTCCGAAGGCTCCCAGCGTACCTTGCGCGTCTCCATGGTTACCAGCGCAGGGCGTCCAACTGAGGCCTAGGCCGCTGCGGCCTGGCAGGCGGGATGAGGCGATCGGGCGGACCGGCATCGCCGCTTCTGCTGAGGCGCTTCGCTTTCTTCCTGTTGCTGCTGCCAGGGGTTTGCCCGTCCACGGCCGGGCCGACGAGCGAAGCCCCTCCGAAGCCGTCCACCAGTCCGGGCGGAGCCACCGTGGCGGGATCGACAACAGAACTCCCTCCTCCTTCGCCGCTGAACCGGGCGACCTCGACGCCGGGCCCCGTCGAGGCATCCAGTCCGCCTCTCACGTCTTCCCAAACGCCGTCTCACGTCGGCCCGTGGCCGGCGCCCGTGACCAAGGGTGGGTCTGCTGTGGCACTGATGGAGCCTCCATGGACAGGAGCAGTCATGCCGGAGTCCCGGATCGGGCGCTTCCAGCAGAAAGGCGGGCGGAGCGGAGGGGTCTGGCTGCTGTCCCTTTAGTGTAGCAGGGCAGACTACAGTTCCCAGCATCCTAGGCCATAGGAAGCGAGCCCTAAGGATTATGGGAGTTTATTTATTTTATTTATTTGTTAAATTTATTGGCTGCCTATGTTGCCATGGGGCTATTCTAGGCGGCTTATAAGAATAAAACGGAAAAATGATAAAAGTGTAAAGATAACGATAGCAAAGGAATAAAACAATAAAAATAAGCAATGGAAGTACAATAATATGACATTTTTAAAAAAGGGAAAAAAACTTAGTTGTCGGTCATTGACATCTGGAGCTCTGCCAGAGCAGCCTCGTCTATGGCCCTATTTCTATAGTTTTTCTCCTTGGTAAATCCCAGATTTACATGGCTATAAGAAAAGGACCCTTGATCTGAAATTCTTTTCGTTCAATTGCTCTGAATTAAAATAGTTCATGCAAAATGATTTTTACTGTTTTTGGCAGTCGGGAGGTGGGGCATGTATATTTAATAAATTATGGTTCATCGCACAGTCAGCCAGATGTTCAGTCTAAATGTGGCATTTTTATCCACCTATCGAGTCCTTTCAAGGACCTGGAATAAGCAGATGTTTTTTGATGGTGTCAAAGGTATCATCATGGAATGTCAGCTGTTCCCAGTCAATCTGCCTTTTGCAATTGATTGATGAGATTTGTTGGTGCTGATGGCATTCAAGGGGTGCTCCAGATGTTTTGAAATTGCATTCAAGGTTATTGTTATTACTTAACTGTTCACTACCATTGTTGTCAAATCTGTTTTTCAGTGACTGAGCTATGCGTCTGTGACCTGCTGGAGGATCAATGTGATATAAACTGTTGTTGCGATCCTGTTTGCACAGCTGCGGATTTCAGTGTTTTTACTGCATGTTCTGTTCCCGTTGTCACGTAAGTGCATATGCTATAGACTGACGCAAATATGCATTTAGATGTTTCCACAGAGATCTTTAATGCACTCTGTTTGAACTTGCCACATCAGAATAGCAAATTGAGGGTGCCGCCCTCTCGAGATTAAAAAAATGTATATTAATAGGATGAAAATAGGATGTGGTTCAAATAAGCAGCTTTTGAAGTGACAGTCTTCTCACAAAATAGTCCCAGTGCAGAATACAGAGGGCAGAGGTGTTTCATTAAAAGCTTTACTGAGTCGCAGAGCCTGTGAAGTGAAAAAACAATATGTTGGCAGAAAGCTTTTCTTAACCTGTGAGGCTTGCTTGCAGAGAGGTTTTTGCAGCTAGGTATAAAGCGGAATTCAACCATTTGAACACTATGCAAATTTGCTAAATTCTGCATTAGCACTTTACGTAACAGAATTGCCACTTGCTTGCATTTCTGTGCCCGATTTAATGTCCCTGGTTTCAAAAACAACAGTGGCAGAGTATTTTTTGCTAGTTCTCCATATTAGAACAATACCTCCATGGCTACCAAGATATTTTTAGGGGTGCATTTTTGAATACTGTGTGCACTATTAGTAACCCATTACAATCTGCATCCTGCTTTATTGTTACTTGTTCTGTAGGCCATTTCCTTTTTGGCAGCCTACCTGCTCTCCTTTCCACAGCTTCTTCCACCTCTGTTGTTCTTATGCATTGTGAATTTGACAACCAAATTAAACCTTTGCGGATTAGCAATGTCCTCTTTAAATACCAATATGCCAGCGAGTTTCCTGTTGCAGCCTCCCAACACAGATTTTGCAGCCTTTTCTACAGACCCATCTCTACTTCACAGGTCTGTTCAAAACCACCGGCTTCATTTATCCAACTGCTTTCTTTTCCCTCACAACACCTCACCATGTCTCCTTGCAGAAAATTGTCCTCGGCTCTTTGGAACAAGAATTGTGCCACCCCAGGGATTAATCCTGGCTCTTATTTGCCCCCAGTGCCAATTGCCACCTACACACAGTATTTTGAGAACAGATGTGCCAGAGTTAAAGCCGACTACTAGATGAATTTTTACCTATGAAATCAAGTACCTACCCTATCAATAGAGAGGCACAGGTTGGTTGCATGCATAGGTTTCTGGAAGATGCAGCTGAATATTTGACACTTTCTTTTTACATTGTCTAAAATATTTTTCAAAGCCCTTTTGTGCTACTGACCGTTTGCACATGGCGGTTGGATTTCAGAGGGTTTTTAAAATCATTTATGTGCCTTGTTTCGACAACCATTTTTTTCCTCCATGCAGGAAAAAAGGCATTCATGTATGTAAAAAAGGTTAAACGTTGACAAACTTCTCTTTTCTCTAGAGGTGACAGGCATTTCTGCAAGCAACCAGAAGCCCACTATTCAATAGATCAATCAGCTCAGCCTCCAGAAAGGATATTTCAGCTAGTTGAAAAAGTCAACCCTTCTGTGTTCTGCCTTCAGACCTCCAACTGTAAGTCGAACAAAATTAAGCCTTGCTGAATAGTCACTCTAAGGATGAGCAGACTACTGGGATAGGATTGGTGGGGGGGGATCAACAGGGTTTGAAAAAACACAGTCATTTGTTGAGGTGGCCATCTAGATCAGGAGTCTCCAAATTTGGCAACTTTACAACTTGTGGACTTCATCTCCCAGAATTCCTCAGCCAACCAAGTTTGGAGAGCATATGAAATATTTAATTCCAATAAAATGGGTTTTTGTTCTGATCACGCCCATGACTTGCAACATCAATACAAATTCTATATAGTCTGCCCCATCCTGAAGCCTTTAGTTAAGCCAAAAGATGAACCTTTATTGTTTCAGTGTATTTCCTTTCGTTTTTGAAGAGAGAAAATAGCAATGGGTAGCAATTAAGATGCTGAACAAGTAGCAAGGTTTTTTTTCATATGACCACAATGCTCAGGATGTGCAGGGATCTAGTTCTGAAATGCCCCAGTGCATTTACTAAACTTCTCAAACTTCTTTTTCTTTTCTTTTTCCAGATAAAGCTGGCCTCTCCTTCCAAGCTCCAGAAATACCCACTCTGCAGAATTTTGATAGGCTCCTTCAAGAATTCGACAGGGGCAGCTTTGCTCCTGGAAAGGATCTTGTGCTGGAAGCAGAGTCCGAGACCCTGCGTGAGGCTGGTGCAAACGACACCAGCAGTTACAAAGTAAAGAGACCCTCTTTGCACATCCTATGCCTTGAAGCCACGTTAGATTTTGTCCAGGGGTCTTCAAACTCGGCCCTTTTATGACTCATGGACTCCAACTCCCAGAATTCCTCAGCCAGGCCGAGTTTGAAGACCCCTGCTCTAAGCAGTTTCCCACAGCCTGATACTCAGGATTGGGGAGGGCCGAGCAAAAACTTCCCAGGGGTGAACAGTGACCGAGTGTCTTCTTCCTGGTATAAAATGAAGCTTGTTTTCTTTTCCTTTGACAGTTTAAGGATCTCATTCAGACAACCAACGGCTTTCTGAGGCTGCCTGCTCCACTTTTTTCCCATTGTGCTCATGAGAATCCTGCAGGTCAGAGAACAGCTTCTTCTTTAGAGCACTTTTTTTTTTTTGAAGGACTTGTGTTTTCCCTCTGAGTCCTCTTCTTTGTTGCTTTCTCCAGGCTTCTTAATGACCCAGGCTGAAAAATGCAACACGGCGATCAAAATGGATGAGTGCACCACCCTTCCCGAACTCAGCATGCTGTTTTACACCAATTTTAGCATTTTGGCGGTAAGCACTTATTTCGGGAGCCTTCAGAAGGCACAAAAAAAAAATGGAAGGGAGGGGCGTGAAGTCAGAACTGCTGGTTTATTTGTCGCTCGGAGAGAAAAGAGGTTTTCTGGCATGGATGCCGAGAGGTTGGGACAAGGCCGGCCAGCTTGTCATTTGTACAAGAGGTGGCAATGCTTCCCCTGAAGTGTGACTTCTTTCCTTATTCCCATCAGGTACCAAATTCCAGCCAAACAGTAAGTTTAATTTTAATTCCGACTTCGAGCCACTTGCGACGCATCTGTAGGCAGATTGTACTTAGTGATACTTAATGGCAGCTCTAATTAAGGAATAACGGGGCGGTTATTGCTAGGTGGATCTTCCAAGTGACATCTCTATTTTTGTGGGTGAATTTGAAAGCCGTTGCAGAGCAGAATTGCTGTCCTTGGAAGCAGGCAGGTGCAGACCAAGGATGCCTCTGGATGGGGCACAGGGGAAAGAGCGGCAGGTGCTTCTCTGCTGTCTTTGCTTCCTGGGGGGGGGGGGGAAATGGAAACTAATCACCCCTGTGTTTGATCTCGTTAAGGTTTCTCTTACAGTGCAGGATGAGTAAAAATTTACCTTAAAACATTTCACCCATTCCAGAGCAAAAAACACTTCCCAAGAGAGGTTTTTTTAAAAGGGATATGTCAATTTTTCCTTGAACACTGTCAGTTTACATAGAGGATAAGGGAGAATATATATATATATTTTGCAGATAACCTTCCCTGCTCTTTCCTGGAGCTTTTGTGTCACTAGTATGTATGTGGTTCAATTCATACATTATGCCAATCTGTGGTTTAATCTTAGTTTGAACAAACTACATCCTAGGCCTAAACCACCAGCCATAGGGTCTGAATCCTGCCTGTGTTCAAAGTAAACTTGTACAAGGTGGTTATTGCTTATGAATCTTTCCAGGTTAACGTCACCATCCAGTCCGTCACAGTTCAGACGCCAGAGGGGCTGCGCACTCGCCTGGCTAATGCAGATGTTGTGTTGCTCCCTGTGTTAAATGATCAGTCGTGCAGCAATCTTGTTCTTGAGGTAGGCAGCCCTCTCCCTCTCGTTACAGGTCTTTATTCTGATAATAATAGGTTTGGTTTTTATACCGTGAGCCGCCTCGAGTGAATTTGGAGTTTGGGCAACACATAAGTCAAATAAAGTAGATCACCCTTGCATTTCAGGCCAGTTACCTCGTTACCTTTACTGAGGCAGGTGAAATCGTGGGGGCAGCCATTTCACTGGTCCTGGGGACAGTTCCTAGCAGCGCTGCTTTTCTGCAGCAGATCTTTGCTATCCGTTTCATACAGGTAACTCCTAAATGATGTGAATTTTCAATATATATATCTCCCCCAGAGCGCTGGAAACTTTCTCAAAAGGAAGGGGGAAGCGTTAAAGATTTATATTTAAATTTCAGCTCGGATTTTTTTTAAGTCACTGTTTCTTTACTGCAGGTCACTGAAATAATAATAGCTACTTAATAAGGCGGTCCCTACAGTTCTAAGGGATTTGTGGCTTTGTATTCAACGCAAAGAATGAAAAATCACTAATTTGCAACATTGATGGTTTTTTTTACTTTTTTAATAGCAAGATACTCAGCCCGTTCCTTTCAGTGGAAGCCCAGGTTATCTTGTTGGGTTGCCAATAAGAGCTGGATTTAGATCAACTGGATATCCTTTTTTCCTCCATTATTTAAGCCAAATTCACTCTGGAAAATGGGTGCTCCAAAAGTCATAAGCGTGGGAAAATAATCATCAGTCGCTTTTTTCAGTGCCGTTGTAACTCTGAAGAGTCACTAAATGAATCGTTGTAAGTTGAGGACGATCTGTGTAGCTAGTATTGCGAAGCTGAGCTCAGGTATTGTTTCTGGACCAGTTCTGCCCCTTCTTGTGCCTGTCCTGCCACAACTTCTATATTGTGCCAATCCAACTAACTGGGGCTAATTCAGTAATCCATGATTAAAGAAATCGCAGCTCTCACCATGCCTAAGCCCGGCTGCTGCACCAACATTTTATTTTTCCTTCACTCGCTTGCATTCACTTCTGGAATCATTCAGAGTTTGAACGAAGGAAGCCAGCTGACCATGATGAAAAGCACCATAGCCCAGGATTGTTTCCAGGTGGAAGGGAGCCGAACCCCAGTACTGTTTGGGTACAATATGATGTCTGGATGCAAAGTGCGGTAAGGCTTAAGCCGACTATCTTTCTGACACGTTGTCTCCCCTCCTTACTTGGATGCTGGGAAGGCAGATGTGTAGTTCACTGCCACAGCTACCCCATCTAATGTGGTAGCTGGTCTTTCTGGTCCTGAAGACCTCAGGAATTGCTGGGGGGGGGGTTGTGGAGGGTTATGGAGAGGGGCTTCTCTGCCCACATTGGGGAAGACCCCTCCATCTTTCCCCTGCTTATTTCTGAGTCCAGACATTGTCATGGCAGTTATTGGTAACCTCATCCCAACTTTTAAAAGAACACAGGCCTACTGTTGCTTAGCTTTTCCACAGGCAGATTTATATATATTTACACAGGCACCCACTCCAGGGTTGCTGATGGCAGTTTTCTTTCTTGAAGAATTACCAACAGTGTCGACTGTACACTTCTGGCTCCAGAGCTCCTAAGGATGTTGAAGGGCCAAAATTTTCCAGACTATGTGGCCTCCTTTGGAGATTCCTTGCCTCAGAACGGACCAGACTGGGTCCAAATCTCTTACAATTCTACCAAACCGGTAAGAAGTCAGACTAACCCTGGCTAACATCTGGGTGGATGTTTTCTTTACCCCAAGAACCGTCCTGGAAGAGAAACACTACCCCAAGACTATTTGGGGGGATGCAAATAGGCTATGTAACAGGATATACCCTATGTAGGCAAAGTAAAAAAAAATACAAAATCAGAACACTGCACAAAAAGATGCTGGGAAATTTACTGATGTCCCCAAGCAGTTTGGGTGCAGCTTTCGTTCTTATCTAACAATTTTATGCACTCTCATAGATGACTCAAATGCTCCGAGCCCTGTTTATGGGACAAAGTGCAGTAGGTGACATCCTGCATGCTTAGCCAGGGTGGGAGGGCCTCCCCCTCACGCAAAGAGGGGCTTGTGACCTACGAACGAACGTCTGTCTGACTGTTTCAGGCCACCTGTGAAATCCCCGTGTCCTTTGAAATGGAAGTGAAGTGGACTAAATACGGCTCCTTGGTTAACCCCCAGGCTAAAATTGAGAGCCTCGCGGTGATCATAACAACGGCTGCCTTACCCAAGGTGGGTGGTGATCTTCTGTGAAGGGAGGGGAGGGAAGAACGCCGGGAGCTTATTTTTAACTTGGCGCACTCATTCCGTGATCGCAAGGCACTGTCTGTGGGCGTTAAGACACGTGCCTAATAAAACTGCCTTTCTCTTCTGAAAGGGTAACCTTGGCACCTTGCAGCATGGCTGGCTGGGGAATTCTGGGCGCTGGAGTCCACACACCTTAAAGTTGCAGAGGCTGAGAAACATTGGTCTAGATCACATTTAGGGGGAAACCGTGGCCTGACTGAGTCTCTCTCTCTCTCTCTCTCTCGCAGGTCGATTCAGGAAGTGAAAGCATCGTCCAGATACTCAGCTCCGTTTCGTTTGTTGATATCTCTGCCCCTGCCAAGCCAGGATACAAGGCTTGGCCCACCATTGAGGCCCACCTGCCCTTTGATTTTTTCTTCCCTTTTGTTTAAAATCCAAAGATACCAGCTTCATTTTTTAAAAAGTGGGAAGCTTTCTTCAGATCCACGCTGAAGTTGAAAACAGCTGTTGCATCAAAGTGATCAGAGGCCAAAGCCGTTTTTGCCAGCCTCAACTTTGGCAGGGCTCCCAACTGGAATTAAGATGGACCTTGGCAGGGTTTGATGGAAGATTGTCTTGCTGCTGCTGCTGCTGCTAGTTCATAAGCGAATACGGACCGAGGCACAGATTCTGCCAGGTGCTGCTGCGCAAGAGAGACACGCAGCTGGGAAGGCTGGGAGTTGAAATCCATGCATTCAGCGGGCCCCAGATTGGAGAACTTTGCTTGCTATGCCCAGGGTCGAGTATAATGTGAGGAGCATAAAATGCAATAGTTAATGGAGCCCCTATGTCAGCTGCTCAAAGGGCACAAGAAAAATAAAAGAATTCTGAAATGGGGGACGATGGAGAAGGATTCTGCCCTGTACATTAGAAACCTCTTCCAGCTGCTACAGCTGTAGCTTTTGTGAATTATCGGAGGCCACCTCTGAATATGGATTTGAATTTATTACATTATTTCCAGCAAGTCTTGCGAAACTGTACGGCTGTACAAGAAAGAACGGCACAGGTCATTTTATAGCGCTGAAGCTGTTCTTCTACCACTCTGGGTCTCCCAAAGAGATCTAGGGCAGCCGAGTCCCAGCCGAGCGCCCTCCAACCCCCCCCCCCTCTGAGCATGACTAGGAGGAGGGCAGAAGGCAGTGTCCACCCTATCTGAAGGGCATCAGCCTGGGAGGAAAGGCGCCCGTGCTGAGAAATGTGCCAAAGGATATTTTTTTACCAAGGTCACCCTGTAAACGTGAAGTAACTTCTCGGGGCCAGAATAGAATCCACGGAGGAGATTGGCCACCCCAGGTCCAATTCAGGCATCTTGTTTAGGCTGGCTGAGTAGCCCATGTTGCTTCAAGAGATTGTTCAGCCTTTCAACCTCTATTTCCTGTTGAAGAAAAAGAAATGAGGTGGTTTCTTGTGTCCCTCAGGCCTCGGATGCAAGTTTTTATCAACAGCCCTTTTCCAATTTGGGGGGAAAAATCAGATGAACAGAAGAAGGAAAGTGGAATTTAAAAGCTCTGAAGGAAGCCTACGAGCAGTTATCGCTTATCTATTAAATAAAAATATGACATCTGAATTACTGATTCTTTTCCTTTCGTTTCTTCCTGGCTACATTTTATATTTGATGGAGAGAGAAAAAAAAGGGGGTTCTGGGCACTTCTAAGAGCAGAGTCAAAGCCGTGCCCTTACATTGGAATAAATTTAGTGGCAAGTAGGCTAGAAATCCTGTCGTTTCGGCTGGGACATGGCAATCCTCTTGGAAGGAATTAAAAACTTACCTTCTCTGCACAGCTGCTTTCCAGCTGCTGGACTTTGGCACTCAGCTGTACATTGGCTTGCTTCAGTTTGGAGATCTGCTGTTCTGAGCGGGTCTTCACTGATAAGATGATTCCTGCAGATAGAATTGAAGGACAGAACAGTTCCCAAAACTATCAGCCAAGTCTGGGGGCCACCTAAAAATTAGCATTGCAAAACATTTACAGTAAACCTCCTGCTTAGGAAGGCATGGCAGAAAAGGGAACGGAGGGCTGGAATGGTATAAACATTGACAAACTTGGAGGCTAACTTAACACTTTCTAGTTCTTTTATCAGTTCTCAAAAAGATGGAAACTAATCCAGGAGAGAACCAACTTAGAACCAAGGAGAAATTTACTGACAGTGAGGACAATTAACCAGGGCAAAGGCTTCCTTCAGAAACGGGGTGGGTGGGGGGGTGGGTGCTCCAACACGAGGTTTTAAAAAGAGATTGGACACATTTGTCTGAAATGGTATGGAGTTTCCTGCTTGAGCAGGGGGTTGGACTAGAAGACCTCCAAGGTCCCTTCCAGCTCTGTTATTCAGGGGTCTCCCATAGGATCAGGCCTCTGAGAGCCCACCCCTTGAACCAACGGCCTTGGGCAAAGCGGGGGGGGGGTATTTAAAGGCAGTCTTGGTAGACAGGAGGGGAGAAGGGAAAAAGTTCTAGAGAAGGAGCTTTCACTCAAAGTGTCTCAGCCATCCTTGGATAAAGAGGACACGGTTCTTAGAGTTTAATTCCCATCCTGCTTCCAAGACGTACCGTTGATGATCCTGGCCACTCGCCACAGCCTGAGCAGGATCAGCAGGCCAAGCGCTTCAAACTGATGCTCCTGAAAGAGGACCACGATGTCCAGGATGAAGGAGACGACCACCACCAGGGCGTCCAGGACTTCGAACTTGTGGTGGAAGAACTCCAGGCGGTAGGTGAAGAGCTTGAAGCTGACTTCCACCAGGAAGAGGGACAGGATGGAGAGGCTCAGGTAGTGAAGCACCTGGGGGGCACAGAAGGGGCGGCGGGTAGCTGAAAAAGCCATCCAGGACACAGCGGGGGGTGGTGGTTGGGGGATGACACAACCTTCTGGCTGATCTTAAGGCCGCTCGTGCCTGGAGAGTCTCCTCAGTTCACCCATTTTTCACCTTTGGTGCGATCTCCTCTTTGTCGGGATGAATGATCTTCAGATCCAGAAGCAGCTCTCCCAGCACCAGCACAGCATCCAAGATCACCAGGCAAACCACCAAGATCTGGGAGGATAAGGGAGAGCATTCAGGTAAAAACAATAACATGTTTCTGGAAATCCATCAGCAGAGGTTGAGGTCGGCTCCCGTTTATGTTAGCAGTGAATATAACCGAAGTCCAACACACAAGTCTTGGCTGGGGAATTCTGGGAGTTGAAGTCCACACATCTTAAAGTGGCCCAGACTGAGAAATGCTGGTTAAAGCATTGGATTCCTGGCTGGAAAACCAGGAATGATAACCCAACTCAGATAATCAACAACCCAAGTCCACTCCCATCAACTCTCATCTGACAGGGCAAACCACTAATCTATAGAGAGCAAACCCTACTCCTTTACTAGCACTGATGGTGATACCTAGTTTGGTAATGAAACGTCTACAAGAAAGCAACCAACCTCAGAGAGCAGCAAGGACCCCACAGTGATAAACCTGATTGAAAATCTGCACACAACCATGGGATGCCATAATTTACTTATACGGTTTATTAAATAAACCAAGACTGGCTAAGTTCACATGGCTAATTATAGCAGAACGTGATCTTTGGGGTTTTGGAGAAGCACGTGGCAGAAACCATACCTGGGATTTGGATACTACTGTCCATGAGTTAACAAACTTTGCAGATCCAATCCAGTGAAGATTGACCAACAATCCATGATTAAGACCAAGTGGAACGACACAGCGCCAGAATCAAGCGACGAGGTGGCACTCAAGATTATCAGTATCGCTCTTTGCTCGTGTGACAACCAAACTCCTATGAGGGAGCCCGTGGTGACCGTCATCTGAAGAGTCCCCCATCCATACCTGGAACTTGTGGGAGTGGAACAGCTTCTTCATGACATCTCTGAAGGTTGGACGCCTGGGTGCCGATTCGACTTTCACCGCAACCTCGGGTGCCTTCCCTTCTCCTTCCTCTTCCGTCTCCTCCTCCTCCCATTTCTTGTAGTCGTTGTTCCACTGGGCAGTGTCATCTCCCACCACTGTGAAGTGCTTCAGATACATCGACATGGTGGTCGCTCAAAAGTACATCACCTCCCAGAGAACAGCTGTAGAAGCAGATCACAAGCCATCTTGGTTAGTCAAGACTCAAGTCAGTTGCCTTCCTAGGAATGCATTCATGGACAGATAAAAAGAGGAAGAAAGGAAGAATCACGCCGCTAAAGTGATCGTTTTTCAGGGCTCTCCGTAGTTGGCCACTTTAAGACTTGTGGACTTCAACTCCCAGAATTCCCCAGCCAGCATGAATTCTGGGAGTTGAAGTCCACAGGTCTTAAAGTGGCCAAGATCGGAGACCCCTGATTTAGGTTACTGCGTCCAGGTCCTTACTCAATGCAGAAAACCAAATGTAGGGCACCTCCCCAGCAGAAAACAACAGCCCAGGCTCTGCTCAAAGACACCCACCCAGAGTCGTTGACAGTCAGATAACATACAGTTTTAACAAATCATCCTCACCATCACCAGGAAATTTGCTACTTCCCTAATTAACTATTCTACCCTTGAATCGCTGTTGAAAAAAGACCTGGAATTATGTGCCTTTTTTTAAAAAAAAAAAGAAAGAGGGTTAAGAAACCAAGAGAGATAAAAGAAGGGATCCTTTTAGAGGAAGCAGTGTGAAAATGCTACCTTCAAGAAGAAGAGAATTAATATAACAACCACACAGGAAGCCAGCCCTGATCCTCAGAGCATCCCCAAAGCCGTCTCCCTCTTACCGTGTCTTAAGCTCTCTTTCTCCGCCGGCCCAGCCCGTTTCTCTCCTGCCAAGAAAGCCCAAGCCAAGCCAGAGGACCCCGAAGCCCGCCCCGGAGAGTCGTCTGCCCTGCTAGAGAGACTTTTGTAGGAGAGGCAAAGGAGAACAAGAAAACCCCCCACGTTTCCTGTTTGCTTTATTTTGCATAAGACATTTCTGTCGCAATCTTTTCTGCCAATCAAACTCTGGGAGGGTGAAGGAGAGGGGAGAGCCCACCCGGGGCTTGCCAACCACTGCCATTAGGCAAGTTCTCTGTGTTTGTTGTGGGTACAAACCATGGCTAGGACAGTTCTCCTTGTCCTTGGCTGGGGTGGCATCTACCTGACGCATGAGGAACCCCGATGGAAAGCTCCTGCAGAAGGAAGACCCGTGGGGAGGGGGCAGGACTTGCTCAAACTAGCCCAAAGTGCCACCAATTGGATTTACTACGACCAGAGTCAGCTCTGGTTGAGAGAAGCAGCAGTTGGCACAGATATTTGCTCTGTTTATGGTACCATACCAGTCAAATAAATTCCAGTCAATGCTGGTTTATGATCCTGCTGGTAAATAGCTTCCAGGTGATTGGAAGAAGAGCTTTGCGTGGCTATGCAGAGATCTCCGACCTAATCATAATCTAAACAGGATCAGGAGTTACAACCCTCTTTATTTGCTGCCCAGAAGGGGTTATTGTGAATACTGTCTAGCAACAAACAGCCTCCTTTTTCTTTAGGGGCTGCCGAAGCAGCCAGGAATTCTCTTGAAACACTCAAGGTTATTGCAAAACGCCGGCGTTCTATTTTTAAGCATGAAGAAATACCTCTGATGTTTCTCCCAAAACAAATTGCAAATAGTCTCGTTCTTTCTTCATATCGTGGCCCCTGTTCTTCCCTCCCCCCCTCCTCCTCCTAAACTTGAACGTGTTGGACCAAACCGATGGGTGGGAACATCAGCTTAGGACAAGCTTACACAACTCGCAATCTTCTCCAACGGTTGTGTAGAAGAGAACGCAGTTCCGAGTTCAGCCCCGGAAATCAGGATTTTTACCTATTTATAGCAGCCAGCTCTTAAAATAAGACAGCTCCAAGAAGGAAAGTAACACCTGTTTCTTGACTAAACCCAAAGTGGTTGAGTTCAAGAACCATCCTAAGCCATTAATCATGGATTACAAACAACAGTGGCTCGGTGGACAGCTGGTGCTTAACTCAGAATAAAATGTTGCGGCAGCGTCGTCTACTCCGGGAGTCTCCAATTAGTGCTCTAAGCCCCATGGAAAAAAAAGAAAGGGGGGGGGACAGGTGAGGCAGGAGAACATTGAGGTCTCCTGGGCATTAAAAAGCTTCTATTCTGGTTTGCTTGATTTCTTGGAAAGTTGTAAGATTAACCCCATCCAAACTCTAAAGATGGAACCTTTCCAGGCATGAAACCATGAATGTTTCACCTGTCACCTGTCTGGAAAAGCTGGACTTCATTTTCAAGAAAGACTCTTGGGTCATCTGGCACACTAAACCAGTTGATGGTGGAGAAATGTTAGCTTCCCACAAACCATCACTTAGCCATCTTTCATTCACCTGGGAAGAGAGGCAGAGCTGCTCTGCTCCTACGATGCTAAAAGGGGGAGGCCAAGACAGGCAGCCACCTGGTTGATAAGCCATGCTGCCTCCTGGTTTAACTATGATTTGTTGAATAAGCCACAATTCTCTGTCGAACCCAAGCAAATTGCTAATCGTACAATCTTTGGTCCCTCACAGTCACAATCCTGTGCTGCCTTCCTAACCTGGCACCTCCACATTCCAGAATTCCCCAATTTGGGACCCTGAGCCAAAGGCCAGGAGGCATCTCCCCTGTCTTGTGAGTCCACCTCTCAGTTTTGCTGACCAAGCTTTGCTGACCGTTAAATGTTCACGCCAAAGCACCGAGGAAACGCACTGAAGCTTGCAGAAAAATCTGCCTAGTTAAATATTCTCTGTCTTCCACTGAAACCAATTCAAGGGATTTATTTACTTTTCTTGCTCCTCCGTCTGCTCCTCCTCCAAGAAAGACCTTTCCCAACTTCTAGGATCTAGAAGACCCCTCCCCAACAACAACCTGCCTCACGTTTCTGCCCTGGAATTTGGGGGCAGAGCCTCTTGCTTGCCCAGAAAACTGTCCCCCCCCCCCATCCTCAATTAAAATGCCTCTTTTTTTTTTTATGCTTTCAGCCATTCTTTGCTCTCCAGGCTCTTCCCCTTTTTTTTCCTTCCCTTTGGCTCAACATAAGTCACTTTATCAAAAGTTGCACATGACAAAACATTCCACTTTTGGGCAATACTTCCCAGGGCTTAAGTAAACCCTTACCGACTCTGTTTCATAGTTCTGCTAACATCCTGTTGGAGGTCATTTGTATTAACATCTCTAAATAATCACCCAGCTTCCATCTCTATTCTCTGCCCTTTCTTTTCTTTTCTTTTTTTTAGTGAAAGGCCCTTCCGCGGTTCAAAAGGCAGCCCTTTTATTCTCTATTGATGTTGAAAAAAGTTCCTCTTTCTCTCATTTGAACAAGAAATGTGGGGGGCGCTTTTCCTCTCTGGGGAGGGCTTCATTTTCAACGTGTAGCCAGAGCATTTACATTCCTGGAGAACAACGGCGTCTGCGACGACGTCCTGGCTGGTAGCACTGTGTCTATTAGAGTCGGGGGTCTCCAGACGTGGCAACTTTTAAGACCGAAGGACTTCGACTCCAGAGTTCCCCAGCCAGCTGTTGGGTGGAGAATTCGGGGAGTTGAAGTTCACCAAGTTTGGAGACCCCCGAGGTAGACGAGGATGCGACGGCGGAATGGCCCGAGCTGCTTTCAGGCGCGGGTCGTCATCCCGGCCGCCTCCGGACCCGCATCAGCCGCTTCCAGGCGACTGGAGGAGGCCTTCGCTCCGTCCGTCAGTCCGGCGGGGCCGAGCGGAGCGGAGGGGGCTTCGGCCCCCCAGCCGAGTTGGCGGGCTTGTTGCAGAGCCCCCCCTCCAGCCCGCCCCCCTTTGCTCCCCGGCTGCAGAGCGCGGAGCGGGCGGGAGAAGCGCCCCCTCGGCCCCGGGGCGCCTGAAACGCCCCCGCCCCCAAAAGCGGGGGGCTGGGCCCCTCGGCGTCGTCCCGGGGCTGCTCGGGGGGGGGGCGAAGCGGAGCGTTCCGGGCAGCCCGGCCCCCTTGGCCACCCAGCCCTCCGTCCCCCCCCCCCGGCCCTGCCTGCCACGCAGCGGGGAAGCGGCGCGGAGGGTCTCCTCCGGGGCTGCCCCCGCCCGACGCGGCTCCCTCCCCTCCCCTCCCCTCCCGGGTCCCCCGTGCCGTACCGTGCGGGGCCAGGAGCCGCTCCGGGAGCCTCGGCCGCCTGCCTGCCTGGCCGGTGGGGCCGCCGCTTCCCTCTCCCGGCCGCCGTCCCCGCCTCCCCCGCCCCATTGGTGCAGAAAGCGCCGTCCGGGGGCCGGGGCCGGGCTCACCCCGCACGGCCAGCCCCGCGTGGGCCCCGCTGGGGCTGCCGACGCGGCTGCAAGGAGCGCGTCCCGGGAGAAAGAAAGGTCGCTCCAGCTGGCGGCCGGCTTCCTTCTGCTGGCCAGCCAGCCCCGCAACTCCGCCGGGCAAACCCACGGCAGGGCTGCCTGCCCCGTGGGACTACCCGAGGGGGAGGGGTCTGGGGGTGGAGGGTCTGGCTTGAGGGTTTTTCCCACCCGTTTTGACTTAACCCCCCTCTGCCCCCCCCCAGTTCTAACCCCACTTCAAGTTAAGGGCCGCTAGCTAAAAGGTCTCTCGATCCGTGCCTTGCCCTCCCTGGCTCCGAGTTGGGAGCCTTAAGTAACCCACTGGCAAATGCCTGGCAACTTAGCCCCTCCTGCTGGCACCTTCTGCTCATCCCTGCCAAGATAACCCAAATTAAGGGGTAGGAAGGGCAGTGCCCCATGGGCTTTACTGGCTTGGAATCAATGTTATGCTCCGGTATGGGTAGCGGTCCGCAAAGATCCCGTTTTTAAGAGACCTCCTCCGTGGGACACCAGAGGGATCCTCTCTCCAGCCAGCACTTCCACCTCGAGTGGAGCTGCTTCCAAAAGTGGGCGGCCTTCTCCACTGCGGTGATGATGGCCTCTTGGTCAGAGACGGGCAGAGGTCGCCCCCCCCCCGCCTTCCATCCAACACCCGAAGCCCTAAAGCCCCCAATTTACTTATCCTACAAGGGAAAAGCCTGAGCCCCTCTCGGCCCCCACTTGAGCCTCTAAAAGAGACCCTCCTTTTATTCCCTTTACTAAGTTCTCACCTCTTTAGATAGGACTTTTTTGGGGGGGGGGATGGAGAGGGGAGTTTCACGTGACACTTCCTGAATGCAATGCTGAAAAAAAATCAAGGCCAAGAAGATTTAACAAGTTACTCATTTAATAGGCATTTTACCACATTTGTATTGTACACTGTCATCTGTTTAAAAAGATTACAGGTTTTTCTTTAAAAAGAAAACAAAAAAAGAACCACAAGAAACTGTGAGTCATAGAAACAGGTGAACACTGGTTCACTGCTGCAGTTGGTTGTTTTCTAAGCTTTGTAGAGAGCAAGTCTTCAAGATGCAAATAAAACAAAACCTAAAGTAATTCTAATTCTCAGGCAAGTCTCTTCACATGTTACAACTTTCTGAACTGGCTAAAAGAGCAGAGTGGCACGCTTCGACACTGAATATAGGGGAAGTATCAAAAGTCTTTAATCCTGTACTCCAGCTGATCACAGCTTTACTCTGCTAGTTCAAGTCGTCCTTCCTGCAGAGGAAAAAATCCAGCTTAGACACTACGGGCCGTGCTGATGGGTCTTCCCCTGCACACCTTGATTTTTTTTACAGAGACACAAATCTTAAAATCATGGCTTTAATCGTGATTTCAAAGTATACGGGAGGGGAGGGCGCTGCAATTAAAACAGACATCATACTAGTGAAGCTGGCAAAAGTTGGCTGAAAAAGTCGACAACGGGACTCATGTACATGACAAGGAAAACGCAAACCCTTCGAAACAAAATAAAAGCTTTTTACAAGTGAATCGTATCGACAGGATGCAATTTGACAGTCATACTAGTCTCCGGGCACGCTGGTGCCTTCTTAGCTCCTAAAATAAAAAACAGGCGTCACACATCACCTGGTCTCTACCAGTTCAAGGAGTCAGTTGTACAATTACCCAGAATGGCAGGACAGGTGCTGTGAAGTTATGTACAGCCGGAACATCGAGAACAGAAAAAGGTGTTGTGTTTTTTTTCCTCTTTCCAAATACCGATTATTTATTTATTTATTTATTTTTAAAAAAGGCTCTTCTTGAGAAGGGAGAACGTCTCATTTGCTGCTACATCCAGCAAATGTCAAAATGAACCAGAAAGAAAAACCACAACACATTAAGTCTAGTCTTATAGCAAGCTGACTGATACACGTTACCGGTTTTTGTTTTTTTAAAAAAATGAAGATTATATACTATGGTACAAGTCCCAACCAGGCGGGCCCGAGAGTACTTATTTCTTTGCTTGTTTTGTGATCATACCCCTGGGTGGCGTTACCGGTCGGCTAGCGTTGGGCTTCTTTTTCTCCGCAGGCTTCAAGATCTGGAATGACAATTTGCTGATTTAGTTGACGCCCGGCAGATTCTGCAGGCAGCTACTACAGGAAAAACCACACAGGTAGAGTTATATTGCTCTGCTCAAACCTGAAAAGATAGGGCTAAATTACTCAATCCGAGACCCAGACTGGACCAGGATCACATCTCTCTCTCTCTCTCTCTCTCTTAAAAGATCAATGCATTTCCTTCCAATTCCATAAGCCAGGTATCAGCAACTATGGCCCCTTTATGACCTATGGACTTCAACTCCCAGAATTCCTGAGCCACCTATGGCTCAGTTGAAAAGACAGCCAAGGGGGTGGTGGTGGTGCTGGAGGATATCCCAGGCCAGGAGCGGTTTGGGCTTTCAAGTTCAGCCCAACAAACCTGAACTCAGATGCAGTTGTGGTGTTCCTCCCACAGCTTGCGATGGCCCTACTTCCTCTCCAAAGGTCCCTTTAGAAAGCAGCAGGGGGGGGGAGGATTCTCCAGGTGAATCTATTAAGGCTGCCCTGGGTCTAGTATGGCAACGGGCAGCTCAGCACAGAGTAAAGGAGACAGAACGCATCTTCCAACAGCTCATGCTCAGAAGGTTGACTGGAAGAAAACCCGTAACTGAGCAAAACAAAAAAAAAGTGACAGGGGAAGCAAAGTGCCCGGGGGCTTCAAAGATACTGTACCTGAAAGGAGCACATTAGAGTCTCATCCACACTCATCATAGCACCTGCATTGTCAAACTCCCCACAGTAATTGGGGGCAGAAAACAGAGTTACCAGCTGTCTTTTTGCAAAGAACTCGTATCCATCTTCAACTACCTGTAAAGGCAAAGATGGTTCTTTTGTTACTGGCGGGATGGGAAATATGGTAAGGCAGGAAAGCAGAAATTTTACGGAATGCTTTGTGGATAATACGGTAAGCCCCTTTTCTGAAAGTCTGCAAAAGGTTCCACTGGCTGTCATGGCTGAACAGCGAGAACTGTGAACAGGTTCCGACTGAAACTGCCACGCAGCCAGGCACCGCAGCTGCAATTCACAATATGGGGACAATGCTAGCTGCCAACGGGTGCCAAAAGAGCCCCAGCTACCAAATCCCAAGAAATCCTCTCTCAGTTCAGCCAGGAGAGAGAAGGCAGAGAAGCCCTAAACCCAGGCAGCTGCGTGGATGCTAGAGGCGGGCGGGATCCTTTTCCGCACGCTTCTACTCTTCGCCTACCTGGTGAGCTCTGCATATGAGGTCCAAATCGTGTTTATGAAGGAACTTGGCCACCACTTCGGCTCCAAACGTGAAAGAGACCCCTCGGTCGTTTTCGCCCCATCCAAGCACATCCTTGTCGGGGTCAGACCACAGCAGGTCACAAAGGAGGCCTTGGTCCGGCACGTCTGTGGGCCGCATAATCCGTCGGATTTGCTCCATTGACTGGAGATCTGGTGATAAGCCTGGGCAGGAGTCAGAGGCAGCTGGTTTGAATTTGGCTCACTTGGGAGGTGCATAACACAAACACAACGCAAAACAGTGGGAAGTACATGGGGGGGGGGGGAGAGAATGAGATCTGTTGCCCTGGCAGTTTCGCCTACAGTTCTGAGGAAGAGCAACCAGCCAACTTCATCCGAGAGACGCTGCTCAACCAAGGGACCCAATACAGGACCAGGGTAAGACAGAACACGAGAAATTATAAATAATTCCTTAAGAGGTTCCATTTCTTGGATAATGCGTCCAGATTCACTCAGAGTTCAAATGGATTCAGCAGAATAATTTGGAAACTTAAGTCACGAGTTGTGCCCATTTAAATGGATGTAGTTAAAATGAAACTAAACCTGGATCCAATGCTAGGAAGACCACAGCGTAATTTCACACGTATCTACACAGTCCCAGCCCCTCCCAGAGCAAGCTGTCTCCAAGACAATCCCCTTTTGGCCAAATAAAATGTTCGAAAAATAGACATCCCTTTGGTTTAGTGCAGTTGCCTCAAATTAAAGAGTGCCCTGCCCTTGCTGGGCCAAAACATTTCTTCTCTCTCACGCCTGTTCAGCTGTAGCCTCCCACTCACATCCTCCAACACTGCAAGCTTGTGGTTTCTGCCTCAAAACATCCTGCAGATGTTTAGATTACAAGGCAGGAATGGCAAGACCAAACATCGGAAGGGCTCACAAGGGATAAAATGCCAAGTCTGCCTCTGGAAATATCTCAAGTGTTAAACACACCTTGAAATTCGATTCTGATCAATTATACGGCCTAAGATAGCATCCAAAATTACTTACCACCGTGGCAGCAAAATATTTTCTCGTCCACAATGGCTGCAATTGGCAAGCAATTGAAACAATCTGTAAAGGTTTTCCACAGCTTGATGTTGTATCTTCTTTTACCTGGGGAAGTGGAGCAGCCAATGAAGTCATTTCAGAATCGAGTGTGGCAGAGAAGAGCAGTTTGGGGGGGGGGACAGAAAAAAAACCCTCCTTTCTGTGTCTCGCAGTTACTCCTAGGCCTGATCTAGCTTTTCTTCAGGTAAGTCTGGCTTGACCTCTATAGAGTCCTCGACTTGCTGCAACCATTTGCTTAGTGACCGTTCAAAGTTACAGTGGCAATGAAAAAAGTGACTTATAACCAGATCTTGCACTTGTGCTTGGCAACCAGCATCTATTCCCAACGGGGTCCCAGGGTCACGTGATCGCCGTGGGCGACCTTCCCAACCAGCTTCTAACAAGCGTAGTCAAGGGGGAAGGTGGATTCGCTTAACGGCTGGGTAATTCGCTTTACAAATGTGGCAAAAAAAGGTTGTAAAATTGGGCACAGCTCCCTTGCTTAGCAATGGAAATACTGACCCCAAATGTGGTATTATGTCAAGGACTCCCTCCACAACTTTAACCAAAAAGGAACATGACAATCAGCCCTTGCTAAAAATTCAGAATACGCTGGGGTTCATACCGGAAAGGAACATTATTTATTTTCTGCTTTTGAAACAGGAGGCCTTCAAGGCGATACAAAAGATCAAAGATGCTACATCTCACCTTATTCCAGTAGCCTCTCAACTCTGCCACCCTATTAACGCACAATTCCCTCTAAGGGTAAAGATCGTTTCGTGGTTAAAAGGAGGGCGCATTCTCCCCTAAAATACATTCCCACGCATACTTACATTCATCATAGAAGCCGTAAATTCTATTAATGCTAGCACACTCATGGTTGCCTCTGAGGAGGAAAAAGTTCTCTGGATATTTTATCTTGTAGGCCAGCAAGAGGCAAATTGTCTCTAAAGACTGCTTCCCTCGGTCAACGTAGTCCCCAAGAAAGAGATAGTTGCTCTCCGGTGGGAAACCACCGTATTCGAATAGCCGCAGTAAGTCGTAGTATTGTCCGTGGATGTCACCTTAAGCAAACAAAGGAAAAGAGTTTTCAGTGCTTTGGGTTTGGCAGTTTGGCTCACTGCAAAGCAGAGTCTAACACAGCGATATATTTTAAATATGCAGACTAAAAGGAGCATTATGTAAGAGCATCAAGGAAATAATCAGAGACCTCAGTCAGGTTTTCAAAAAAAAATTTCCGTGATGCCAAACCTTAGAACATTATGTAAGGCTGTGGTTTTAAAGGTAAATTAGATCAAAGTGTGAATTTCACCTGTAGTTTCATATCTAAGAAGTATATTCTAATACTTCTGAAAAAGAGGAAATTACTGCTTCCCCCTCTCACATGGACATGGCAAGGATGGGCAAAGTAAGAGGGATTATATACTATTTCAATATACAGAACAGCTATGAGACCTAAACAGTGTTATCAAAAATCAAGTAACTACAGTATCTTCCTGAAATTTCTTTCTTTTAAGTTACATCTACAGTAATAGTTCCTTTCAACAGTCTATTCAAAGACAGAGTTTTATCCTCAAGCAACCTGGCTGAAAGAGGTTATTACTGCAATTTTCTAACAGATTCAGCATCTTCAGATACATCACCTAAAGTTATTACCTAACAAATTCTGTGAATCATTATTAGACCGTTAAAAAAATGGTGCTTACCACATATTTTAAGTGGTGCTTCAAGTTCTAACAGAATTGGTTGACTGAGAAAAATCTCCCGAGATTTCAGGCACAATCCTCTTATTTCATTCTCTTGAAGCTGGACATTTTTACCAGGTTTGGATCCTCTCACTACATAGAAAAAAAAATATGATTATTTATAGTACATAAATGAAAATTAAGTAATTTGATCAATTTTTTTTTTTTAGGAGGAAGGATTTTGATCCTAATCCAAAATCTTCTTTCAATTACATGTGCCAATTCATTTCACACTGACAGAACATTTAGGATATGCATGGTTATTTTGTGACTGCCAGCTGAGGGCAACGTATTTTGTGCTGCTGGTGTATACTTTTTGCAATCAGCACCACATATCCAGTATACTTTACGGTTTATTCCAGTTGCACCTTCTAAAAAGAATGCACACTTTATTAAATTCAAAATGGCCATTCAGAATAATTGTGAATCTAACCCATGGCTGCTAATGCATTAGTAAAGTCCATTGCAATAGGTGGATATATTTTAAAAGTGCTTTATCCAGGCATAGCTATATTCAAAGCCGAAGCTGTGTACAATGTGTAACAGTAACAAAACGGATCACAATAATAGAGCACTGTGTTTCAAGATGTCAACAACTTTCTCTAAATGCATGTAAAATATTCTCAAAAATATTGAAGGGCATTATAGCAGCTTTAGATTTGCATAATCAGCAAAACAAAGGATCAAGAAATCCTGTTGACCAATTGTCTCATTTGCATAATTGATGCCTATTTCATGCTTGCAGAGGGAACAAACTAGATTCAGTGATTACCTTCTCCAAGAGTTTGACTACAAGATTTTATGTTCTCTCTCATCTGTGTCTTATATCATAAAACAAGCCCAAAAAAAAGAACAGTTTAAAGTACTTGTACTGACAGTTCTGAAGAGTTCAAAGATTAGGTTTAACAAGCTTTGCTCTGAGTCAATATCAGAATCATGATGAAATTTCCAGCAGATTTCGCAGGAAATAAAAGTTGTGACCTGACCAATACTTGCCCCATAATTAGCTTATTCTGTCAGGCATGTTGGCATTTTACAATGACATTATCAGTACATTAGATACTGGAGGAGCAATGAACATCCCTCGCACACATAACCTAGCACAAACTCATGGAAACAGTTCCTTCTGCATTGCAGCATGCCTGCTCTGTGGCAGAAGGGATTCGTGACTAATTTTTTTCAAATTCAGCTCCCAAGCTAAGACCAGGTAACCTGAAATGTATTTAACAGAACTGCCAAGTATCTAACAGCAAAACAGCAGCAGATACCAATCCAAGATGACTGCATTAAAAAAGCGAACAGGACAATTAGTATTTCTTAACCTATGCTTTATTAGAATTAAATAAAGTGTGTTAATGAAGAATAAGCTTTCCAGGCAGGAAACGTTGAAGAAATATTCTTAAAATTAAGTTGAAGTCCAAAGACCAAACTTTAGGAGAAATTTGCAATCAAAGACTGAAAGGAGTGTATGTTGAATCAGGGATCTACAGTTTGATTTATAACATGACCAAGTGACAACTGTCCTCACAACTGTGTACAACATAATTTACGTGCTATTGCAAATTCGAACAGCTGTTATCATTCCACTAGGCATCTATCCATCTATCCCCGCAAACTAATATGCCAGACTGTTGACATCCATCTGTTGCTTCGACTGTACCAGAGGAGCTGATCTGAATTTGTCAAGTTCCTCTAATGCAGTGTGCAAGATTTCATTCAAATTGTCTTATCTAACCCCCCTCCACAATTTTCAGAAATGAAGTGCTTTAACGTTGGAGATATAAAACAAGCCTCCCGGGGCTGGGATTGTCAAGGAGACGGTCCTCGTCCTCGGCAAAATCTCTTCAGTCCTAACTCTATAAATAAGCAGTTACTGAGCTTGCTACATCAAAAGGAGAGAGAGAAGCCAGACCAAGGGACCCCTCCTTTTTAGGGGTTGAGCTGGAATCCTGCATCACTTATTCCTCCTTTCTCAGTGTCGTGTCCTTTAGTGGCTGTTATGTAACCTTTATATAACATTGTACAAGAAGTGGTACCTTAATTAGCTTACCTACTTCTCTCTCCATTTTTTTTTCCATTTTAAACTAGTACAGCACAAGCAAACATTTTATACTTAAAGACAGCTGAAAGGTGAGATAAGTGGATAAGATATAGACAGACAAGCCCATAAACTGGAAAGTGACCCTTACGTATTGTGGCTTTCAAACCTATAATAATCTCTTAAGCTTTGTTCCAAATATTTTACAGAGGAAACAGCATGTGCTCAGAATTAGTGCCAGTTCATGTGAGTAAAAATATCACATATCTGTTTTGCCAGGCAAATCCTATAAAAACCCGTTCTTTAAGCTTCCTTACCACTCATAACCAAAATATTCCGAATTTAGTGGAGGACACGGCTTCCTTTATGAAGAGTGACAACACAGAAGTCAATCATGGACACCACTCTTGATTTAATAATCATTTAAACAGCAGAGAAAAACAATGGCATATGAAAAACAACAGATGATCTCATATTTATCAGATGGGAGGAAAAATCTCTGTCTAAATTATAATTCTCCCCAGCACAATGTGTGGTGTAGTGAGTAACTTCACAAATGATACTGTACAGAGCCAGGGAGAAATGAATGGGTAACATTAGTTTGTTTAGGAAACTATTACATTTGCAGAAGTACAAAAAATATTTTAAAATAATTTCCAGAGCAGCCCACCCAGGACTGAACTTAATCAGTGCCACAGAATGTGGAATACCAGCTGGAAAAGAAAAACAGCAAGAGGCGGAGGGCGGAGGCAATGGAATGGCCTGCTGGGCACGGACACAGCTAGCTGGCTGGCTGGCTGGGTGAGTGAAACTCGGCTGTGAAGGGTGCAGTTGCAGAGCGATTCGGGGTGTCATAAATCTTACACCATTTTCACAAGTCAGTACTGTGTGCATCACACTGGCTTCAAATCAAATCCAAGTTTCATTTGTGCATGCCAAGAGGAAAACATCTACACCCTTCAATCTGGTCGTTGTTGTCTTTCTGTAGGTAGTCCTTGACTTACAACAGTTCATTTAGTGACCATTCAAAGTTACAACAGCACTGAAAAAAATGACTTTGGACCGTTTTTCACCCTTAATGACCTTTGCGGCATCCCAGGGTCACGTGATCAAAATTCAAAGTGGCAACTGACTCACATTTATGACGGCTGCAGTGTCCCGGGGGTCACGTGATCACCGTTTGCAACCTTCTGACAAGCCAAGTCAAGGGAGAAGCCAGATTCACTTCAACTGTGTTACTCATTTAACAACTGCAGTGATCCGCTTAACAACTCTGGCAAGAAAGGTCGTGAGATGGAACAACATTCGCTTAACCAATGTCTTGCTTAGCAACAGAGTTGTTGGGCTCAATTGTGGTCGTAAGTCGAGGACTACCTGTATTGGTATTTTCACATGGCAGCTGTTCCTTAGTTACAACTTCACTTGTTTATCCTGCAGAGAGAGAAGGATGGAGCCCGTGGGCAGAATCCAGCCAAACCTGCTTTGTTCCTTCAAGCATCTGGCGCATATCATAGGATGTGGCCTGTGTGGCTTATTAGTGATTTGTTCCAGAGGAAAATATTTATCAGCAACATGCATATAGCTGGTCCTTTTACTAGTGAACGGCACTAATCACAAACCGCACAATCAAAATTAATTAGTTCTGCAGGCTTGCATTTGCTTCCATCACTCACTAAGCACTGTGAACACCAACTTTATGCTTCCCCCCCCCCCCCCGTTAGGAGCTTTGAGGCCATAGTTATAATTATGGCCTGAAAAATCCTAATAGGAAAAAAAAAGGCCTTCACCAGAGAGGCGGCGTGAACGTCCAAAGCCCTGTTCAAGCAGAAGACCCGATAGGAAAACCGTTCCGGTGTTTTTGAACAACCCTCTCTAGTTCAGGTTTGTGGAACTTGCACGCAACAACATTTAGCCCAAGTTAATTGCAGAAGAAAAAGGAAATCCAAGTCCATCTTTCCAAAGAAGACCACGTGAATAGTTTGCAGTGTGCGTTTTTATTAGTCATCTGTGGTTAAATTAGATTTTTAGAAATATAACTGTGAGAGAGCATGAAAGCCTGTTCTTCTAACCAGAAGCCCATAATTTTCCACTTGCATCTGGGTTGTTAAAGGCCCAGACAGGATTAAAATATGTTGCTTTGTGATAGAAGGCTAAGCTATTCAACATCTACTAGCCTTGAGAAACAAGTAAATAACTAGATTTTCTGGTCAAACAAAATAGGTGGTTGTACACACTGTTTCTTTCCGGGTATCAATCTAATCAGATAGATCTATAATAGTCTACAGGCTCAGCCTAAATCCAGAAGATCTAGATTGGAACAGGCTCACTAATGTTTGTCTGAGAACGTGCAGCTTTTCCAGCTATAAAATGAAAATTAAACTGGCTGCTCTGAGGGCAAAACTACCACTTTTCTATCGTATTCCTGGGGTTGAAAGTTTGAGTTCCCTGCCTTAACCAGATATGGAGAACTTGAGCGTACAGACGGAACAGAGAGGTTTTAGTTCTAATTATATTTTATAGTGATACCACCCTTCCAAAGTTCAAAAATTATATGAAACCGCACTTTGCCTTTGTAGAATGAAAATCAGCATTTTCATTCATGTCTTCTTGGATCTGAAAGGAAGCATGAGAGCCTAAAGCTTTGCAGGTCTTTTGTAGCAACAAACCATTGTTTCCCATTCCATCTCAACTAAGCCCCAAGAATACTGGGTGGCTTGATCCTATTACTAGTCCTCAAAGAACAGGGTAAATACACAATTAAGAAGAATCCTTCTCTAAGGTGCCGACAGATGCATTTTAGAATAAAATGCTGATAAATCATTTTAGAGCTCGAAGACTTCCATATTTGGAGTTGAAATGACCGATACACAAGAAAAAGCATATGAGGTATTTTTTATAGCTACCGTAATCAATTCCAAGAGGCAATGTTTTTTTAAAAAACCCCTCATTGCTGCATAATTTAAATTATATTAGTACAGATGAAGCATTAAGTGGCAATAAGAGTTCTATTAATAGAAGATAATAGAGGTGTAAATATGCCGTTTATCCCTCCAAGTTATGTGTACATAGCCAATTTAAAACTCCTGTTGCATTAAAGGACACCAAAAATTAATCTATATCGAACTCATGCTGTTGATGTCTGAAATTTAAATTTGTTAAACAAATGGGAGAGGTGATTAAGCAACCATTTTTTATTAAGCATGCAAGAACAGCTTTAATAACACAGGAAGGGTTTCCTTTTTTAAATTCTATCTGGGCTAATACCAAACATCTTGAATTTACAAATCCAGGCATTTTTTGCATTGCTAATTCTCTTTCAGTGGTCTTTCAGCAAACCCAAGAAGGATTAGAGAAAGGCACATCATAGAAAGGATACATAGGTGGCCCAGTTCATTTTATTTTGGACAGTTGTTTTCATTCGATGGAAATTAAATTCCCCAATTGAGTTATTAATCCAGAATGGACTTGGATAAGGCTGGATCAACGCAGTAGCTGCCTTATACGTTTGCCTGTTGCTGGAAGGAATGTTGGTCATCGGCTCTGTTCACCCAACTCAAGTTTAACCTAAGGCCAGCCTCCTGCAAGGAAGGCTGGAGACAAATACTCCAAACGTACAGAATGTTGCATCTTGGAAGTGCCCCAGAGAAGCACTTGGACCGGTCTGCCAAATTGTTTAGATGAGAGGAGCCACCTGGAACCCAGCACCAGAGTTTAGAGTAATCAAAATGTCACACTGATGTCATAATGCTTGGATTAAGTCTATAATTTGTTTGCAAGCAGAATTTTCACTCAAGCTCAAAGAAGCAGGCCTATTTTTAAAGTTAATGGCCATAATAGACAGGCACAGGCAGGCGAGCAACATTTTTACGCCCTCATAATTCCCTGGACCAGCAATCATACAGTGTCAGGAGGCAAGCTAACCAACAACCTCTTTCTTCCCTCCGAGCAAAACTCTACCTATGTTTAAGAGGGCAAAACAACGAGAGCCCTACCAGACACTACAAACTACTTATGCTCCTATTCTAAGAAAGAGCAGGCTAGAGATGCATGTAAGATTGCCACTATCCAAGTATAAAATGCGCCATGTACAAAAACTTTGGGCAATTTGAAAGACACTGACATGCTGGGGCTCTCAATCTCGGATGCAACTCCTCCAGGAGGTTTTGTTTCCATCCTCTCACAACTCCACCAAAGGAGTGCAATGAAGCCCATGGATAAGGAGATCAAAACCATATGCATTTTCAGCTTATGGGGAAAGAGAGGAATTTATTCCACCACCCCCCCTCAGAATTCCCTGCAGAGGGACCTATTTTCACCTCATCCTTCTTATAATCTCCCACATTATTTATATTTACTTCGTGGTATCTCACCCTAAAAGCACCAAACTATCTATAAAGCATTCCCTCCTATAATTTCTTCTCTTATAATAACAACTTAGTAAGGTTCTTGAGCGGCGAGAGAATGATCAAAGTTTTCTATTTAGCCTATGTTTTCACAAGTAAGTACTGTGCCGTCACCCAGGCTTTGAATCAAATAGATCCAGGCAGAACCCGAATAAAATTATGTTTAGCAGCTTCTCATTTTGTTGCAAAACCCAGCACTCCAACAGATCCCAAACTGCAACCCAACTAGCAAACTCCTGTATTCCGAGGCTGTCCCAAAGGTGCCTTTTCAATTCAGATCTGAAGCAGCTTCTTGGATGATAAGTGAAACTTTTTCAAAGTAAAAAAAAACCCAAGAAAGTCCAATTGCCTTTTGGAAAAGGCACTTTTGACACAACCATGACCTGGATGATTGAGAATTTCCAGAGACCTATTCCCATGGTTTACATCAAACTGTTTCCTTGCAAAGCATGACCTGCAAAAAATATTTCAAAATACATCTATTTTGTCAGTAAAATTAGAGGCGAAGGTAACCATATTTGTACCCTGACCTCTTTCTTCTAATGGGCAACACACACGAGACCCTGCATCATTCTGACTTTGCACTTTTCATTAATTACACACAGTACTCCTATTTATTTATATGTCTTAATGTGTGGGTGTGGGTGTGACACATGCACACACACACACGCACACAACCCTTATTTTCTCCCTCTTCTTTGGGCTGATGATTTAGACCTCTTGAACTGTCTACCCCTCACATCATTCAGCAAAGCCTCCCATCCTCTCAGTGGACATCCTTAAAATTCATCCCTAATAATAGAAAGGGGGGGGGGACCAGAGAAAAACACATTAAAGAGACCCCCCCCAGGTCAACAAGGCTACATTCAAACCCCCCACAGGTATTGCCTTCCCTCCCCCATTGAGCCCCCTTCTCTTCACCAGCCTTTCTCCCCAACAGCTTTGAACCCCCCGAAAAGCCCCTCTTTAAAGTGGGGAGGGTCATCTTCGCTCCCTCGGCCCCCCATTTCCCAGCTTTCCTTTGTCCAAAGCGCTTCTGATCCCCCCCAACTCCAAAGGCTTCCCCCCCGCAAGATCGTAGGAGGGGAACCCCGATTTTCGGGGGGGGGAAGAGAAGTGGGGGCGGCCTGCGATGAGGAGGGTGCCGATGGGGTGTATATCTGGGGGGGGTCATTTTCAACCCCCCTCCTCCGCCGAGGGAGTGAAGAGCATCATTTGGGGGGGGTCTAACCCCTCCTGGGAGCGCAGCTGAAGGGGCCCAAATTGGGGGCCGCCCCCCATCTCCCCCACCCGCCGCCCCCGGGCGCCCCTCTGCGCTGCGGACCCCCTCCCCCCCAGAGCCGCCCCCCGCCCCTCCTCACCCTCCAGCAGCCGTTGGATGATGCTGTCGATGTTGAGCTTGTCAATATCCGCCATCGCCTCTCCGCGGCTGGGGAAGGAGCCAAGCCGGAACCCGCCGGGTCGACTTCCTCCTCCTTCGCCGCCGCCGCCCCCGGCTCCCGAGCCGGCGCTTGCCTTCCTCGCCTCCGCCCACCACCGCGACCCTCTCGCCCGGCCTCCTCCCGCGGGGCCCTCGGGTCCCTTCTCGCCCCTGCCCGCCGCGCCGGTCGCCTCAGCAGCCGAGCAGCAGCATCCCCGGCGACGGCGGCGAACAAAATGGCCGCCCCGGCCCTCCCCTCTCCCGATTACCTCCTTGAGGGGGGGGGAAAGGCGCAGGGATACCGGAGGAAGCGGCCGCCGGGACTTCTTTCTGGGGCAAGAGCGGGAAGCTTGAGGAAGGGAGCCTCGCGCGCTCGCCCGTTTTCGCCCCCTCGCTCGGCGGCTCCCTCCTCCCCCCCCCCTTCCCGGCGGCGCGCGCGCGCGCTCTCTCGCTCTCGCTCTCTCCCTCCCTCCCGCGCGGGTGCCTTCACTCAGTCGCGCTCCCGCGATCCTTCCGCCTGGGGAGAGCTAGAAAGAAAGGAAGCGGGAGGGGGAGAGCGGAGGGAAAAAAAGAGTCCCCCCCTCTTTTTCTTCCTTTTCCTGTTTCTGGGGGGGGAAGCCCAAGAAGGGGGGGGAATGGCAATCTGAGGCAGGGAGAAGAGGAAGAGGGATGGGAGAGAGGGGAAATGGCGTTCTGGCTAAGGCAGGACCCTTTCGGGGTCTTGCCTTAAAAATACATCAAGTGGGGGGTCAAAGGAAAGAGTTCCCTTGAGCAGGTGCAAAATTCTCTGGGTGTACTTCTAGCCTCCCATCCCCCTGATGAGTGTGGAGGGCAGAGTGCACCAACTCTGAAAGCCTTAAACGTAGAGAAGCTGTCCAGCTGCTGAACTGGGCCACTGAATTAAATCAGTTGTGAGTTGGTGCAAAAGTCCTCAGGATTAGAACTCATAGCCATACCTGCCAAAGCTCCCCACCCCCCGTGGTGGCAAAAGTCCGGGAGGAGGCTTTCCTTAAAGAAAAGGGGGGGGTCAGGAAGTCTTGGGGTCCTAAAATAAGATTAAACCCTTGCAAAAAAAAAAAGTTCTGGCCCTCAACCGCAAACGTCCCATGCAAACATGTTGCAGGATTTGTGGTTTCAACCCTGTACAAGATGGGAGCAGGAGGATGCTCAAGGGAAAAGTGTAACTGGTTAAGTGAATCAATGGACGGACAAGATTTATTAATATTAGATTCCAGAAAAAAGTGGTTTTCCCACTTCACAAGGAAAACCTCTTTCCTCCTTCCTTTCTCCTGGGATTGCAACCCATTTTCCCAAATGTGACCTCCCCCCCCCGCAAAAAAATTCATGCTAAGATATAGTTTTGCTCAAAGGCTTGGCAAAAGGAAAGAGCACGCTTGAGAATGCACAGAGTTCTGTCTCCTTTCAGGGGATGGAACCACTCCAAGCAGTGCAAGCTCTTCTGTGCATTTCTTCCTTTAGAAGAAATCACTTAGCAAAAGGTAAAGGATTTCGTTTTAATAATGTAATTGGAACTGGCCCTATTTGCAGTATTTAGCACTGAAGCAGGAATATTTGTCTTTGCATCTTTTTACGTGAAGCTCAACACGAATCAAGAGCTCCTGAATCCAGAAAGCTGCAGCACAAAACATGCTCTTTTTCCAAAAAATGTACCTGATTTCTAGGCTAAAAGCAGCTAAAACCAGCATCGCCTGGGCTTGGAAGATTAAAATTTTAAGAGCAAATGGGAGATCAGCAACAGAAAGCAGAGCCTGCCTCAATCCAAAAACTCTTAAGTCAGCACTAATATAGCACATCATGTATTCCCTTCACACCCACCCACAGATTCTGCAGCCACCACACATCCCTAATCTTTCCTGGATGATTTTGAGGTTTTCCCCTCTTTCCATACCTTTTCTCCCATAAATCTATTTTATTTTGGTGCTTCAAGCATCCGGGAGGCTTTCCAATGCTATTTCTGATGCATGGATGAAGGATTGGCAGTCCATGAGTGACTTTGTTATTAGTATGTACTATTATTATGACAGATGTCAAGGACAAATTATGTCCTTTCCAATTGACCCACTGCTGAATAGGTTGCATAGTCTTATGCTGGGATGCAGCAGAAATCTGTCAAAGCAATTAGAATCAACCAAGTGGGAATAATATGTTCAATTTCATTGGCAAGGAGAAAGGATGATGTCCAATGTTCTGATTGCTTTTGTTTTTAATGTTAGACCAAATGTGGTTTAATTATTGCATTTAGGACTACCTGAATGGATAAGATGTTTTTATTTTTCCTTAAAAGATGTCAGCCCTAGCGTTTAAATATAAAGTAAATATTTCTCCTCTGAAGACTTATTTTTGGAACAGGCACAGGCACACAGAGGCGCTTATGTAATAACATTAACTGTAACTATGTCATTATCACTGGTGGAACTGGTAAGTCCTTTAGCCGAGGCAGGGAGCTTGAGAAAAGCTGCAGTGTCATCTCATCTTGAAATAAGACAGGAAAAGAGAGTCGGTACCATGAAAATAGAGGTCATCTGGGTTAAATCATATGTCATGTGCAGAATATGACTCTATTGACTGGACAGAATTCTGAATTAGATCATCCTTTGATACATCGACTGTTGTTTCATTTCCCTTTTTAAAAATATTTTAGACTAGACTGTCATGACAATGGAATGTATTATGAGTGAGAAAGCTAGCTGAGATTTGAAGCCTCATTGTCAATTTTACTATCCTTGTCTCAAACAATCCATACTAACTTAATCTCTGGACAACCAGGAGTGAGCTAGTTATAACTCTGGGGCCAACCTTATAACTAGCTAGCTCCCTTCTTAGAGTTCCCCAAATCCAACTCTTGCTCAGTAAGCTCATGAAACAGCACATGACACACTGAGCATGAGACACACACTTCATACTTTTAGGATACTTATGCAATTGTACTTCCAATTGCTAACATACTTTTTAGTGCAATATTATATTGTAAATGGGTGCACAGTTCGGACAGTGACCCTGTACATTGCACGTACTGTGCTTTTTTTTAGAAAAAGAAAGCAATCACACCCAGTTCAACCTCTCTTCAGAAAAAGCACTTTAGTGTTTTGCCTATTCCCTAGTTTATATACCACTAAATTGCATCAAAGTGTAATACATTTCGTATATTTTTCTCAGCTTTAAAATGCTTTTGAGAAGTTTTCCAGCTTGGTTCCCCCCCCCTCCCCCCCGCAAATTAACACATTTTCCCCAGCAGCATTTCAAAAGTGAAAGTTAGGATACCATAATTTGGAACTTACTACTCAGCTGTTTAAAAACATCACAACTGCTTTCTCCCTCCCCCACAAAATTGTCATAGAGCAATCATGAAGGAAAATAATTCAAATACCCTTGATTTTAAAATTCTAGCAGACATGTTGCTTGTCTTAAATTTCTGCCAGCTCCTGTCCATTTTTTTGTTTTGATTAATGTCATCTAGGGAAATCAATGATAATTCAGGTTTCTCTTCTGTTTGAGTCAGCATTTAGTTCATTGATTTGGAATTGCATTAAGAATCTAAGCTGTTCAAAATGACAATTTCCCAATAGATTTCAACCATTCTAACTGACATACTTTTTATTTTTTGTCAAGAATGGGTATAGTTCTATCAGCAGATCATACAGGTTTTGACTTATGTGGAACTATCAGTAGAACCAGCAAGAGTAGATGAGAAAAATGGCCATTTAAACCCACTTTGTCTCCTGTTTGCAGCTGCAGCCAAACAGATGCCATCAATGAATTTTCAAGCAGCGTATGATTTACTTGTGATCTGGTTTCTGCCAGATGGGAATTCTGGGAATCGGAGTCCCAACACATTTGAGGATCATCAGATTGGAAAAGCTTGATTTAGAAGGAGCTGGAGACTGAAACGGCAAACAAAATATAAGTCATAAAACAAACAAATTGTTCCCCTCCCCTTTGGTCATATAAATCTTAACATTTAGATCATGATAATAAACCCATTCTTGGTTTGGGATGCAATTGTGCAGTGCCTTCTAATAATTTGTTTCCTTAAAAGACACCAAAGAAGTTACAATTGTCTTCACAAATACAAAGCTTGGAAGGGCACAATTGTAAAGGAGCCCCTGGCTGGACCAGTGTCCTATTGAGTGCACTCAGTAATGTTTGAAATAGTCTCCAGAATTACGATTGTATTTATAATAAAGAGTGGAGAAAACTTTGTGAGATGCTGTTCTTTTAAAGGTGGTGTTCTTTTTTTTGGTAAATAGATTTTGGCCTTTCTTTCCCAGAAAGGATCTCACTTAAGTGACATTGACTGATCCGTTTAATTTAGCAGTCTTTGGCCAAGTTTCCTTGCAGATAAAAGATGGATGTTTAAGTTTACCCAATGTTAAGGATGATAAAGATTAAATGTTATTGGATATTTTTGTCCAAAAGGAAAAAAAAAGTAGATATCATTTTTTAAAGAAGAATTGTGGTGAAACAAAGTATTCTTGAAAATTCTTCTATATAAGTATACCTATATGTCAATATTCATATGTGCTCATACAGTCTCTCCCTCCTGCACACATATGCAAAGAGACAAATGATTGCATGCCATAGGGCATTCTTACAAAGTTCTCATATCACTCCCTTTCCTGGCTATTCTTATCAAAGTGCTAAGGTCCTCCTTCTCACCCTGTAATTTCCTGTAGGGAAAAAAGACCTGTGCAAACCGGAGGCATGATATTCTAGCACAGTGGTTCTCAACCTTTTTAATGCCGCGACCCCAACCGGTCGTAAGTCGAGGACTAAACCGGTCGTAAGCCGAGGACTAAACCGGTCGTAAGTCGAGGACTACCCAACCGGTCGTTAAGTCGAGGACTTTCCCTGCCCGGGAGCGCCGCGCATGCGTGGTTCCGCCCCCTGCGCCGGCCAAGGCGTAGCTGGCAAGCGGCAGAGACGGAGCAGGCCGACCACCAGCTGGCCCAGCCCAAGGGAGGTAAGGCACCCGCCGGAAAAGGGGAAAAAAAATGGCGGACA